CTCCCGACCCGACTCCAGGCGGGGCCGCCCTCCCGCTGCCCTGCTGCCCGGGGACACGCGAGTGTCCTAGGATCTCGGGCCTGCCCTGTCCTACTGCTCTCGGCGAGGTGACCGCTGGACGCCCCCAGACTCCGGCTGAAAAATCCTACTCTCCTGGCCAGGAGTCCCTGACACACTCGGGCCCTTGGCGCTGTCCGTGGCCCCAGAACTGCTCCTCTCCTGCTGGCTGGGACACCTGTGCGCAGGCCCCGTCGTGACCTCTGTTCCTCCCAAGCCCGGAAATGCTAACAAAGCACAGCTTCTGAACTCTTGGTTTGGAGGCCCTTGTTCCCAGACATCAGCCGGCTGAACTGAGTGGGTGCTTGATACGCAACAGGTCCTAACTCCCCAGTAGCTGCTTGAGGACTGCGGGAGTGTCGTCCCCAGGGTCTAGGAAGAGATAAGAAGTGTGGGGCTGTTCACGCCTCACTGCTGGGCCCTGGTAGGGGAAGGGCTGCCTGGTGACCCCTGGGAGAACAGAGACTCCCGGCTCCCAGGGGTAATTATCTGCCTACGTCTCCTTCTAAATGCTACTGGGCCCCCACTCAGGCTCCAAGGCTACTGGTTCCCTGAGTCCTACTGAGTCTGGACTCGCTATGTGTGGGACTGAGCCACGTTCCCACTCAGTGGGTTGGGGTTCCATGATCCCACTCCCAAGAGTGCATCCTTCTTGTTTTGGTTTCAGAGGAACAGGTGGGGGGGTGGAATAAGAATCATAGCCCCGGCTCAAGACCTTTGGATGGGAGGCCCCTCCTTAGGGGAATAAGATACTCCCCTGCCCTGGAAAGGGATGCCAGCCCCAGCCTCATGCGCTGGGGACCACCCCGACCTTCCCCTTGCCTTGCCCAAGGGTGCCTCCCAGTGTTTGCTTCCTGTCTCCCTTCCTCCTCATCGCATTCCAGTCTCTGGAGAAGAACCAAGGAACAAGGCTGCCGTGTTCCCGAGCAATGCCTTGACCAGGCAGGGGCCCGGACCAGCCGGTCTGGGGAGCCCCATCAGCGGTGCTCAAAGAGGCCCTAGCCGCCTTTGTCAGGACTCGTGGAGAGAGGTGTCCTTGCCTTTCTCCGCTCCTCAGCTGCCTCCAGCCGCTTCCGCAGCTCCTCCAGGGAGGTGTCCTTCCTCTTGGGGGGAGAAGACAGCACAGGGCTCTCTGGGGATAGGTCAGAAGGCGACTTGAGGATGACCTCAAAGCTCTGGCCAGAGGCTCGCTTGTCCAGTTCTTTCACTTCCATGTCTGTAAGATAAAACCAGATGAGGCTTCAGGCAGGCTGGCCAGAGGATGGCAGCCTGGCTCTAGCACATAGCCCAGTCAAGGACTAAGGGAGGAGTGCGACTGTTCGTGGGGGCTCCCAGCCCTGGCTTTCTCCTGCCAGGCCCTCCCTCTGCAGAAGCCAGCCAGGCCAATGTGCTCCAGGAGGTCCCAGGAGGCACGAGAGGTAAGACCGGCAGGCAGGCCACACTCACCCCCATACTGGTAGATGGTGTTGGGATGAGGCTGTGAGTAGAAGCAGGAGCAGATGAGCGACAGAACAGACAGCTCTTTCATCTTCTCTTTGTACGCTGTGGACATGAGGTCATGGTGAGCAGGCACACTGACACCCTAGGCCCCCAGGTCTTCCCACCTGGGTCCTGCCTCCCCTTTCCGTGTCCACCTCTGGTGCATCTCCCCGGGTGACCCAGTGCTGTGCTGTGTAGCTGCATCTCTGACTTTGACTCTGGGGGTGTTCCTTGCACCCTTCTCTCTGTGCTTCTGTCTCACTGTCTCCCTCTCCTTCCCTAACCTTTTTCTCTCTTGGCCTTTCTGTTTGTCTCACCCTTGCTTGTGAGTGTGAGTGTGTGTGTGTGTCTTGTTCTTTCATACTACTTTTTATCTCTCTTTTTTTTTTCTCCGTACCAGAGATTGAACTCAGGACCTTGTGCTTCTGAGGAAGGCATGGACATTGAGCTAATCCCCGACTATCTGTCTTTTGTTCTTTCTTTAAAGTTTCTCCCTGCCTCCTGGGGTTTAGTTTGTGTCCTCCCAGAATTCACATGTTGAAATCCTAACCTTATGCTGCTGCTACCTGAGGGTGGAACCCTCCTGAATGGGATTAGTACCCTCATAGAACAGCACCCAGAGAGCTCCCTTTCTGGCCCTTCCAACATATCTGTGAGCCAGGAAACAGCGCTCACCAGACACTGACTTTGCCAGTACCTTGGCCTTGAACTGCCAGCCTTCAGGTCTGTTAGAAACAAATTTCTAGTGTTTAGAAGCCATCAGTCTGAGATATTTTGCTATAGTAGTCTAAAGCAGACTGAGCCACTCCCTCTGTCAGGGTCTCTGTTGGTTCCTTTTTCTGATTCTGTCACTATTCGTATCTTTCTGCATCTCTGGAAACATCCCTGGCACTCACTCTGTGTCTCTGAGTATGATAATCTGTCACTGAGTACCTTTCTCTCACCTCCCTCTGCCCCTATAATTCCCCTTCTCTCCTCCTTCCTTTCCCTCTCCCTTGCTGATTCAAAATTAACCACCACTGTCAAGATTGGGGCCAGCACGAATGTGGGCAGCACTTACCCTCCCTTCCCCCTGCCAGGGTCTCACTATGCTGCCCAGCCTGGCCTCGAACTCCTGGGCTCAAGGGGTCCTCCGGCCTCAGGCTCACTACTAGCTGGGTGCACACAATCCTGCCTAGCTTGGCAGCACTTTCTGAACTGTAAACTTGGGTGACTTCAACACGCCCATTTTTCCCCCCATTTACCCTGAGGGTGGCATGGCCACTGAGTCAAAGCTTGGTACTTGACAGTTATGCACTCACTGCCCATCCAGGTGGATTTGGGCCCCAAGTGCCACCGAAGACAATGAAGATGTATATTCAGCACCACAGTCCACCCCCTTGCCCCCAGATCAACTGCCCACCAGTAGTGTTCCTGCTACCCAACCAGGAAGGTGTGCCTGGCAGCTGTGGCCCTGGCTCCTGTGAGCAGCAGGAAAAGATAGCTACTCTTAGAATGGAAAAATTTAGCTATTCATGGTGTATTCACAGTGAGCCAACTCCAACATACACCTGTGGGCCCATTGTCTCGGAAATGCTCAGTGATCTGGGGCCCAGTAGTCATCCTGGTTCACAGGGACCACACTGGGGCCTCCCCTCCTGGGACAACATGAACGGTGTTCCTCACAGTTCAGTCCCAGGTAGTCTGTGTTCTTCCCACCACTCTGGCAGGTCCCAAAGACTTTTAGTCCTAGCTGGAGAGACAAGTATACATCTGTAGAGAAACACTCTCAGAAGAGGAAATTGGCTCCCCTGCATAGCTACCTACCTACCAACATCGTTCGGGGGTACAAAGGACTTGGACAAGCATTTAGATAGACAAGAGACTTTTCATGTGAGATTCCACCCCCCGCCCCCAATACTGAGGATTAAACCCAGAGCCTTCGCAATGAGTGACATCCCAGTCCTTTCTATTTTTTTATTTGAGACAAGGTCTTACTGAATTGCTGTTGCCCAGGCTGTGCTTAAATATGAGATCCTCCTGCCTCACCCTTCCAGAGTGCTGAAAATAATGGTTTTTCAGTTGAGTTGATATGAAATTGGGAAAACTGTTAGTATAGAGACAGGACACAGAGCCAAAATGCTCAAAACTTTCATGGTGAGCTGGATCCTTCTGTGACTAGAACAGAGAATGGTCTCATTTGATCTAAACTTCCTGGTGATACAGACCCATCTGGAAGTAACACAGATCCCAAAGGATTGTAAAGGGAGCAGAAAGGAACCCCGGGGTGGACAAATATGAAGGACAGCCTTTGAGGGAAAAAGAGGCTTGTCTTGGTCATTGTCATCAAGAGGCTGTGAAGGGAGGGGGAGGGAGTCAGGAAAGGGCAGGCCTCAAAGAGGACCTCGGTTCAACTTAGCAAGTTCTGTTTTTTCACAAGCAAAATCTATTCCCATATTTCTTGTGTTGCCAAAGGTTATTTCAACCAAGGAGGCAGAGGATGCGTGTCCTAGTTCACGTGATGAGCTAGAGGGTGTAAGAGACAGCTGTTTAGCAGCAGCAGATCAGGGCACATCTGGGACACCTGGAGAAGCTAGGGGTTGCCATCCCTGGCTCAGGAAGCAAGAGAGGATCCAAGTTGGAACCCAGGAGAGGCCAGGAAGAAGGGGGTTTGGCTCCTCTAGCACTGACTACCAGCACCCACCTTTCTGCCAACAGATCCCCACCCCTTATCTTGACCTTTCAGACATCCTTCCTTATCATGCATCCAAAACCCTGATAAGTTTGCCTTCAGGCCCTTTCTGCCAGGGCCTGAAAATTTCACAGGAAAAAGAGCTGCAGAAGAAGAACAAGTTTTAGTAAAAGTACCAGGAGGTTTCTTTCCTGTCACCTCAGCATGAGGATGAGGAGGATGGCAGGGGTTCAGGAAGCAGGTGCTAGCATGGGCAGGTGGAAGCATCTGCATCACCAGGAGAGGACAGAGGAGGGGCTGGTGACATGAATCAGAGCGCTCTCGGGTACTATGTCCTGTGGCTACAAACATGGACACAGTGAGCTCAGCATCTGGTGGTCAGAGAGATTCTGTGGTTTGGCTTCTCCTATGTTGATGGTCCACAAGGAGCTGCCTTCCCAGAAGATTAGAAGGAACTAATGGGACAGGTGCCTACAGGAAAGGGCTGGGAGCAAGACCTGCTCTGTAGCCTGGATGCAAGAGGGAGAGCAGGTTGGAGGAGACAGGGTGGCAGGGGAGGAATAGAAGCTTTGGGGAGACTGAGCAAGGGGAAGCCCACATGTGGGACTGGTGCAGATCTGGGCCAGGACTGGCAACAGCACAAGGCAGGAAGTTACACCTCAATTTTTGGAGCTGGAGAGGCTTGAAAGGCATGTCTTCCCAGATGAGGATTTGGAGGCCCTGGCAGGTTAACTAGCATGGGCAAAGCTCCCTGCACAAGGAGGTCAGACTCCAAGTTGCATAACGAGCTGAATATGACACATAGCATATAAGTTCGAGGAGCAGAATGGTGGAGGATGCCAAAGTATGCTGGCCTTCCAAAGTCAGTCCAAGAAGGGGCCTCACTGCAGCACCGGAAGGGGAAGGCTCAGCCACCTGCAGGGCCTCAGACCTGTGGCCAGGCCCCTGTGAAGATCTGGAGCAGCTGCCTGCCCTGAAGGGACACAGCTGCCCTCAGGGGCCAAGGCAGAGCCCCACTGTGCATTACCCCTGGGTGGGCATGGACAAGACTCCTAGATAGGGTGCGGGAGACCTGTAGACAAGGACAAAGGAAGTGCACTGCAAGGCAGGTGCAGAAGCCCACAGGGTCAGGGTGGGGCACACGTGGGTGGGCGGAGTTTGTGCTTGGGGCCTGGAGGTCAGCTCAGTCCTGAACCGAGTCAGTCGGTAGATCAGACCGCGGTGATCGCCCTCAGGGCACAGGGAACGGTACCCAGGAGCGCAGTTCTTGGGCAGAGAGGGGAATGGAGAGAAGTACAGGGCCGCCCATCCAGCCACACTAGCTCCAAGGACAGGGCTGCGCATCCAGTGGCGGGGGCGGGGGGCCAGGGATCGCCCTGCAGCTTCCTTCAGTCCAATGCTCGCCCTGTGCCCCGCCTCATACCTCCTCCAGAGCCGTGGGTCTGCAGCGCAGCAGGCAGAGGTGAGGAGGGAGAGGCGGGCCTTGCATCCAGGAGGGTTTGGAAATGGCAGCGCCCCCTCCCCCACCCAGGCCTGGGAGAGCCGAGGACGCGGGTTTTTGGCCAGGGAGGTGGCTTGGAGTCGGAGGATGGCCCCAGCCTGCGGCGCTCTGGAGCGGGGGATGCCTCGCTCGGCCGCAGACGTCTCGGACCTTCCTCCC